ACAATAATCAGTGCAAGAATTTTCACCTTTTATACAAATCTGTTTTTGATCAAATTACTCCAGTTTCTATGAAGATAAACAATAAAATATCAGCCACATTTTGCTAAGCATTAAGAACACGTTTACTAGAAATGCCCAATATGCTGAACTGCAATGATAAACTTTGGAGGCAGCAGCAAAGGCCATTTCCATATTAAAAGCACAAGTCTAAATATGAAGCCTGTGATAACACAATACATTATTGATTATAGTTTAAGTTTTCAAATCATGGAAATTTGTTAACGCATTAATCTTTTGGGGAATGGAACACACAACATATTACAAATAACACAAGAAAACAGCTTTGTCATTTAGGTTTGTTACCTCATACACAAACGTGAATTTCAAACTTCAACACCCCTCTCACCAATCAGTCATCTGAAGAAAGGATATTGAACATAAGCAAATCCTCTTGGACGGCGGGTATAGAAATCCAGGGGTACATATACATCAACTATTGGACCATATCGACCAAATTCCCGGCGTAAGTCTTCAGACCTGCAATAAGACTTAATGTTTGTTTGTGTTCACAAATTAGAAAACAGAGTTGAAATTCACATGTCTATACGTGTAAATACTTATCTAACCAAATCAAACCATATGAAACTGAGGGTACATCCCACTGATTTGTTACAGAGTAAATATGAACTAAGCTGTAAACTTTCCCTTGCCATTTTGTAACAAGAATCCAGTTTTTAATAAAATGTAGCAATACTTAATAACACTTAATCATATACCAATCATGTTAAATGTTACTAAGAATGAAAGCTTTTGAGACAATACATTCCATAATGTAAATGGCAATCAACCAGAGATATGCAAAAGTTATTGCACAAACCATCCTGTGCACAGAACAGCTGATTTCAGGTGGTTTGTGACTGAACTGAAACCTGCATGTCTGGTCTGGAAACAAGTGGCTGGACTTCCATGCACAAAATGAACTGAGGTTTGGAACAAAACGTATTTTTCATTTTGTGCACACTCCTACAAACCATAATAAAATAATAGGCTGTATGTCTTCATGCACTAAACTCTAATAACGCGGGATCTGATCATTTTTTTAGATGCAAATAACACTGGGGAGAAAAGTAGAATTTCTGTAGATTTCATGTAATTTCTGAAGTTCTCAAGTCTTAGGAAGGGGAAGTAGAGAAGAATCTGAGATTGGTGAGATTGGCCCTCACTCTTCTGACCTTCTGGAAGAGCGTTAAGAGCTTATGCCAACTAGCTTGGGGATCCAATGGGGTTTGCAGCACTGGGGGTGGCTGGTGACTTGAGGATTCTTTCCCCATCTTTTAACTTTGTTTTTGTAAGTTTTTTACTGTTTTTATGGTTTTTATTTGTGAGCTGCCTAGAGTCACTTATATAGTGAGATGAGCGGTGTATAAATTTGATTTATAAATAAATAAAATGAATAAATCTGGGAAAATGTAAATTAAGCAAAATTTTAAGAAAAAAATGGTAGGTTTGGAATGTGCTATAACTGGAATTATAAATAAGTAGAAAGGGACCATTTTAATGGGGCTAAATTCAAATAAAGTAATGGATATAGCAAAAATGCAGAAATGTTTTGCAGAAATGAACAAAAAATTACTGTTCAAACAAATGCTTAAAAAAAGGAAGGGAAGCAGCCAGAAACTCAGACAAGGGGGAAAAAAAAAAAAAAGAGGAGCGAAAGTTTTTAAATGCTCTTGTAACCCCCTCATAATCTCTCAAAATGCAGAATGGTTTCATCATTTTACTAACTGACACGATCTTCCTGATTTCACGCTCTATTCTTTGTACGTCTTCTTTGGCGCCAAAAAGAGAAGTTAGAAAATACACAAATG